TTGGATTGAACTTTTTTGATAGCTATGGGGTCAAAAAGCATACTGTATGTGATCATTTGTTACTAGTAAAAAGTTATTTTTTGCAGTATATCAGTCAGTTAACAGCACACACCTTTCATAACCTTGTGGGATAAAATATTTTCCACTATTAAACATAAGTGTCTTAACTCGGCATGGTTTTATGGTTTTTCACCAGATTTTTTTTTTTTTTTTTGCGTCTCCACTAATCAGCTACAGTAAACAAGCCTCTAGCAGACAGATATATGCAGTATATGTGTATATTAAGGATGGGCAATGATTTTCAAATATTTGAATAGTCATTAAATAAAAAATTTTATGTTTCATGGGACTATAATTTTGTCTTTAAAAACTGTTTTGCCTGCTTTTGCGGACACCTGGAAATAATGCGATAATGGGGTCAGTATGTCATTTTACTACAGTGCCAAAAACATATAGCAGAAATATGTAGAAACAAAAAGTATATATAAATGAATAAAATGAAATATAAATAAATAAGGGCACGACATGACTGGATAACCTGTATGATGATGATGATGATGTATGTGAGCTGCACAGTCATTTGACGTGTTGAAATTGTATCTTTAACCATGGATGCATGGACAGCCCTTACCACTGAATTGTATGTGACAGTCACTTGCCATTTCATAAGCAGTTGGAAAATACTGAATGCTGTTTGTCAGGCTAAAAGAGCACTGGAGTGGCTTACTGCTGAAAACCTGGCGAATGTGCCTTCTACTGGGGAACAGTTCCCAGCGAGTATTGAATTGAATTTTATCTTGAAATGCCCGTCCCTAATCTCCACCAATCAACTACAGCAAACAAACGACTAGCAGACAGATCGAAGCAGTGCATGTGTATATGAACATCTGATTGTGAAAATTGCACTAGTTTGGGAGATAATTTTCCTGTGCTGCTCTCTGCTCGTTCCTTGTGTTGAGTTAAGCCTGCACCTGTAATGTTACACAGAGATGAACTGTGTGGAAATGGAAACACTTAAACTTCCTTGACACAATCTGGAAAGGCGAGGAAACATATGGAATCCACAGTTATTATGGCTCTGAACCTCAAGAGAGAAGATGGATGATTTCACAGATGTGCCTGACAGACTGATAAACCCAGTGCCCTCAGCCAGTTTGGTACAGTTCCCAAAGCACTACATGAAAATGAGATGTAAAAACTTATAAATGACTTCTTTTATACTCTTTGTATCTTATTATAAACAGTTCATTGTTTTCAGCTTGTTGGCTGCCACCAGCAAAAGCGAGTGGAACAGTAATGACAGCTCTTTAAGTCCTTCAAAAACCCTTGGTTTTCATCTAAACTTCCCATTGTTTCTCATCATCATTGAGCATTCATAGAGTAGTGCAACATGCCTCTGTGCAGTTTGGCTCAAGGTTTTTTGATCACCGCACATTGTGACTGAGGTGAAGGGAAAGTAAGGTCCTCAGATGTCTATGGCTCCTCATGCCCAAAGTTTGAATTTCATTAAAGACCCTCTCTGCTCCCTTGGCTGCCAGGAACAAAGCTAGAGCCAGACGAATGGTAATCCTGCCTGCGAGGCGCTGGTGTCAAAGGTCACTCGTCGCCAGCAGATGAATCCTGTGGTCGGGGTGGCAGAGGCTATGATAGAGAGGAGAAGAAGACAGAGGAGCTCTTTTTTCTGAGGTTATCCAGGGAGAATCTAATGAGGAGGATTGGAGGAGAGAGAAGCCATGCTGCTGCTTGGGCGGAGGCCAGAGGCGAGCTGCGGGAAAACGTCAATACAGAAAGCAACACAGAGGAGGATGAGGTAGAGAGGGAGAAAACTAATGCGAAACATGAAATGAAAAGGAGAGTGGAGACAAGGCACAATCAGTAGTTGCATTCTGTGGTGTTGTGCGAGAGCCACTTAGTTCCTGAGGACAAGCCCAAGGCTAATAAAGCTGAAAGTCTGTAGATGCTCTGACCTTGCTTTGGGAAGCAAAGACCTAATAAGGACACTGTCTAAAGAGAGAAAAAAACTTTTCTTTCTCTCCAGAGCAAACACTCTCTCCATCCCTATTTCATACACTTGCTTCATTATAGCACAGAAGGGAAGAGGAACCTATAGGCACCCTAATGAAGGGGACTGTTGGATCAAGTACATTAAAAGGAGGGATTAGACAGTGTCTGACATGGAAACGGACTTTGAACATGTTCATACTGCATGATTAGTAACAGACTGACATTTTTAACTCGGTTATTTGAAGCTTTCATAGTAATAAGATTTTAGAATGTGAGAGCGTAAGGAATTTTAGTTTCATCTGTCAAACGTTGCTTTGGAGCATGTTTCACTTAATTATGTGGTTAAAGAAAAATGTAAACCTTTTAAGTGGTTTCATGACTTTTACTCTGACTTTAATACTGACATCGCCTTTTACGCAATGAAAGTGCTACAAAAGAATCTGAGATCCACAGAGGCTTTTGAGTTTTGGTCTGGTGTGACTGGATTCATAAAGTAGATTCAGATGTGGTGTTTTTGGATTAACTGCTGTTGCTTTCCTTCTTCTTTGCTTTGATTTTACATAACAGTATTTGGTAAATATATGACTGCATGGGTCTCTGTGCTGTATCTAAAAATGGAGTTCATCTCAAGTCACAATTTCATTAAATGACGAGTTCTTTCTCGATACATTAATTTACTGAAACATGCCTTTTTATGGAAAAATAAGAAAATCCCTCAAAGGGAGAGGAAATTGCATCCCTATGTGGGAATCTAGGGGACGAAAATACGCAAAATCAGGCAATATCTTAATCTGTCATGCTGTATGATGAGCCAAAAATACTGGATTTTACATTTGTGACTTTACTTCTTCCTGTTTTGTTTGATCGTTTTCAGTCAAGGTTTTCTCTTTGCTGTGGTGGCTCTTCCCAGCAGAAGGTGGATGATAAGGCAGGGGTGCTTGCATCAGAGTAGCTGGCGTAGAGCTGGCTGCACTAAGAAACGTTGATAAGTAGTCAGTGTGAGTCCTCCCGGGGTGTGTGTTTTTCGATTCAGGCTCAGAGTACTTTTTTGCCACTGGAGACAAAAAAAAAAGAACTTCCACCATACACCGATACACTAATACTGTAGATAATTTGTACCATGATGTTTTTATAACGAGGAAAGGGATTAGGTTTTTGTTCAGGCTTTCCTTCATGAATTCAAGAATAACAAGAGTCCGAAATACTAATTAAAGGAGGAGAGATTTTGAATCTGTCAGACATACGGATTACATCTCGCCGTCCAATCCTGAAGTGTTATCAGAGGGACAGAAACAGAGTGAGACGGTCAAGCAAGTGACCACTAGGCTGTTAGTGCAAGTGAATCCAGTTGTATAACAATTACATGTGTGTCAGAGTTTGTTTCGCCAAGACCTTTAAGACAGCCTACTGAACATGTCAGGGCAAATCCCTGTGAATTGGCCCAGCGCTCCAGCATTAATCTGAGGCAGGGGGTGACCATCCACAGTCTAAATTGAGCCCTCAGAGACCATTCACCCAGAGAGAAGAGAGAAAGCATTGTTAGAGAGAGCTGGAGAGACCAGGACGGTGCAGTGTGCCCCGAGTCCAACAGCTCGTGCTGCTGGAGATAAGACTTTCAGCCGCCTGGCTCCACTGAGAGGAAGTGCTGCATTTTGATGCTGAGAGCAGAAGCAGCAGCAGCAGTGGCGACCGCCAACATGCACAGAGACCTAAAAACGAGCTCAAGCAGGCATCAAAGGCTGTTCGGGATCCAATATAAGTGGAATGCCAATAGAAAGTGGTCCAGAGAAGCGTGGCACTGACGCAGTCTCCTGTAGCCGAAAATACCCACTGACTCAGTCTCTTTTGTAGAGATAGTTTATCACTCTGTGGTTATTTCCATTGGATTCACAGTAAATGAATTTCTCAGCTGTGTTGTTCTGCGTTGTATTAAGCTTTGCTCTCTTTTGTTGCCATTCACCCAACAATTTATAAACGAACGGCTATTAACATTAGCATTTCAGTGATTATACCTCGTAGTTAAAAACAAAACTAATTTCTCTGCAGTAGTTAACATTATTATTTCGACCTCAGTAACTTTATTTATTTGTGGCTGTTGCTTTCAGGGGAACCACTGATTGTTAATCATTTTCATTTGCATATGAAGATAAGTCTAATATGGTTGCTGGCTAATCCCCTCCCTCTTAGTGCTGGATAACAGACCATTTTTAGCTTTTAATCCATTAATGAAATTTGTTTGCTCAATGACTTCAATCATCACCATAATTATAGGGATGAATTTATCATTTTGGGCTATTTGAAATAATGGGCATTGTACATGTTATTTGCATATATGAATTAATGACAGTGATGTGTCACTCATTGATATGATTTTTCCTTAATTATTAGAGTGCAAGCCACATACTCATGGGCGCCTTAATAAGATGTGAAGCGTTAAGGTGAAAATCTCAACAAATATTTCCATGCAGATGTTCATAATTCATTCATAATTTTTACATTCATTCAATACTGTACCTTCAGTGACATACAAGTAATGTAAAAGGGAGAGCTATTTGATCATTTATGTGCAGCCGCAAGAAAACGTATTGGCACGCTTTGCGATTTCCTGGTTTTCTGCATAAATTGGTCATAAAATGTGATCTGATCTTCAACAAAGTCACAAATATCAACAAGCACAATATTTCTAAGCTGATAAAACACAGTCATGATCTTTCATGTCTTTATTGAACACACCCATTTAAAACGGAATAGCAAACAGTGCCATTACTTTTTCTTACCCATTACTCTGACATATATTTCACACATTCACAGAGAGAAGGCGAAGGTGCATGAGTGTAACAGGTTGAAAATTACAATGCCTAGACCTTCCTGGGATCCATAAATGTATGCCGTCTTACTGGTCAGCACTTTGAAATCATTAACCATTGTTTAGTGGCTAATGCACATATAAATTATGCATGGTGGTTAAGATGTACATACTGAGCTATAGCTCTTTAAATCTTTTATTTAAAGCATATTTTTACCCGCTGTCATTGATTGCTCACAGTTTTTTCACTACATCCAACGCTGACAATTTGCAGATGTCACATTTTGGAAAGCTCTTAATGCGTTACAGTACACTGTCCCCTGTGTATTGATTTAGATCCCCCCCCCCAAAAAAATCCGTGATTCAGAAAAAAATCTTTTGTTCATGTTGTTGGTGCTGGATGGTGGCTGCACAGAAGCTGTGGATCACAAACACAGAAGTAGTCATTGTACCAAAAAACTGTCAGTTCTTATCATTCCAAAAGACCCCGAGGGCTGGAGCTTGCATGTGAGCGAGGTGCTTACTTTGTGTTCCTCAGTCCTGATAGCCACCCTTGAGGCACCTTTGATCTGGAGATGTGCTCTCTGCTATATTCAGCCCCTCTGAGCTGAGCACTGGAACCATCAAGAAGCACTAGATTGGAAAACCTGAGAATGGCATCAAATAAATCTAAGGTTCCACAAGCTCCCCTCCACCACCACCACCACCACCACCTATTATAGAGCCCCAGCTGACCAGCCAACACAGTATCTATTTAATAAATAGTTTCCGCTGTGTTGACTCTTGGGAAACAGGCAGGAAAACAAAACATCCCACCCTGCTCCACAGTCTACATTTACTATAGATTTGTATGTCAGAACCACAGGGGAAAAAGAAAATACATTTTTTCTGCATACCTGATGATAGAAATATATCGCATGTTTTTATTTTCTTGCCTTGTTTTTGCTGACTAAAGGTTATTCTTTTCATGCAGTAGCCACTTTAGTAGCCAAGGACATGTTCACTAAAACCATCTTATTTTCTAATTCAAAAGGGGGACAAAAACATCAGACACTATTGACACTGCGGCAACACAAAGGAAAAAACATGTTGTTACTTGTTATACTGTACATATCTTGGCGAGTGGCTTGATGAATGTCTTTAGTTTAAGCAAAAATGTTGAAAACTAGATTGAAATAAGGGCTTTATTTCTGACAGTCCTGGCTTTTGTTGCAAGCTGTGAAAAGGTCAGCTGTTGCCACCGGTTCTTTATTACAGTGACTAGCATAGTGAACGCACTAGCACAGCGTCTTCATATGTTGAACTCTGTTTATTACAGAGCATTAGGATTTGTCTCCATCTTAAAACCATTAACACAGAGGCTGCTAACCTCAGTGGGATTTATCTTGTTAAATAAAGGTAAAAACATCTCTCTATGCAGGGCCAGTACTATGATTAGTTTCTTCTCTTTATTCACCCACTGGGACGATGATCCTGCT